CTGGAGTGCAGTGGCCACTCCCGGCCACCGCAGCCTCGACCTACTGGGCTCTGGTGATCCTTCCGCCTCAACCTTCCACGTAGCTTTTAAAAACCCAATCACTTAAAAGTTCTTCAGTTGAAGACTGGACACAGTGGCTTATGCCTGTAAGCACAGCACTTTGGGAGGCCTAGGTAGGGATTGCTGGAATACGGGAGTTCAAGACCACCAGCCTGGGCAACATAGTGAGACCTTGTCTCAACGCATAATAAAACAATTAACTGGGGGTGGTGGCACGCACATGTAGTCCCAGCTACTCAGGAGGCTGAGGTGGAAGGATCGCCTGAGCCCAGGAGGTTGAGGCTGCCATAAGTCGTGATCATGCCACTGCACTCCAGACAGAGTGAGACTCAGACTCAAAAAAAAGTTCCTAAGTGAGCTCACCACTTTGACTGTTTTAAGAAGGCAAAGAATCATCTCTGGGTTGTTTGTGTTGTAGAATGCTGTGAATGCTGCACTCGGTGCCTTCTGCACAGTCACTGCTGCAGAGTACGCTGAGTGGCTGGAGTCGGGTTCCCTGGGACTCAGTGCAGCTGCACTTTCCTTTAAGCGATGTTTTGAACTCAGCCTTTTCAACATGAGCAGGAAGACGTAAAAAAAGATGTTAAAAAGTGATGTTAAAGGACACATCTTCCCCGTGATGATCCTTTCTTAAAAGGAAGTTTTACTTTACTTTTGTTTGGTGGGACAGTCTTGAGATTAGCGTCCCAGGAGAAGCTGCAGGGCTTTAAGGAGTGCGTCCTGGGGTTGGGAGTATGAGAGGCGTACACTTGGGAGCCATTGTGTTATGGCAGGTCACCATTGTAGCTCTTAGGTTTCAGTGGCGCCTGGTGTGCCATGTGGTTTTTGTTGGTGGGTTTCTTCTGGCTGTTTGTAGAAGGGTCAGTCAGCACTGGTCTACAGTGACATCCTCATGTTCTCTGTGTGAGGTCAGTTTGCAGGTCACATGCAGTTCTTGTTTGAGGCCGGCCAGTCCCAAGTTATTATTGATGCATTTGGTGACCTGACACCTGCCATGGTGACAGTTTTGCCCCTCCGCATCCCCCTGTGTCCCCAATAACCAGAGACTACATTCGTGGACACAGCCGCCATGTCCCCATGGTTTACAAGTGATTATGGGTTGCTTAGAATTCTCATATCCCATGAACTTGTTTTATGAAGTTCAGGAAGAACCTACCAATTTGTGGTGGTTACCTCACCTGCCCAATATTATTGACAAGCTTCTTCCAGAAATTTAGATCTTTTCTGTTTCCAGAATTACTACAACTGAGATTTACCCAACAAATGTAGTTTTTAATGGAGCTAATACACAATTCAGATGATATTTAACTTGATACAACCTAGTCACTCTTAATTTAAACTGAGATTTTGGAAGAGTGCCGGGCGCTGATTTCAGCAGGCAGAGTGCTCTGTGGATGTCTCTGGCTGGAGCACTTTTAAGTTTCGTCTTCATGGTGGACTGTAGGCATACAGCGCTGGGTCAGTTGCTGGATCACCACTATTAAAGGAGGTTCTGCTCTCCTTGCCTCAGAGCAGACCTGCACTTCCCAGGAGCCACCTGCTGTGCCTGGATACATTGCTGGTGCAGCAGCCTCCCCTGCTAGGAGAGGAGAGACAGGGTTAGACTTGGTGGATGCTGGCTGCAGAGAGCAGCAGGGTGCACAGAGCTCTGCATGTCCGCCTTCCCTGTGTCCTTGTCGCCAGCACAGTATCCTGGCTGAGGGTGGGAGCCCCATGTGGGTGAGGCCTGTCCAGAATGGACGTCCACAGGCACCGCCATGTTCTCTCATCAAGCAGTCACACTTAAAAGCTACTAAGATAAACTGCGGTGTTAAAGTCACCTCAAAAACAGCTGCTTGTCTTTGTTAAAAAGCATCCTTGACATGAGAAACGCTCCCCCGGGGGCAGTGGGCCCTGGGCTGTGTGTGTCTGAGGGTCTGTGACCACGTGGAGAAAGGTCTACCAAGCCCCACTTGCCCCATCCATTGAAGAGAAAGTTAGTTGGTTTGGAAACTTAGAAATGGATGCTGCTGCCCAGGTGTGCCCCCGTAGTGCAAGTCTCGGGCACGGGTATCTTTTGCTTGGGTGCTGACATAGAAGACTTTTACATGTATTTTATACATTTGATCATTTTCCCGCCTCTGCATGTAAATGAATGATGCTACCCCAGTATTTTTGTGCATCACCGGCTCCTGTTTGGTGTGGCAGTGGCGCCAGGCCAGCTCATCTGCAGCAGGCCTGTCTTGATAGGATGCTGTGCTCCTTTATGTGTCTTGCTCGCAAGACCGGCCGGGCTAGTGATAGGTTCTCATGTGGCATGGGTCTCAGAGCCCTATATGGGGAGACTGCACATGCCGCTGCAGACGCCGCCAAGTCCTTTCAGTGTAAGATTGTCTTAACGTGCCAAAAAGCCTTTTGTGAAAAGATTGTGTCTCTTTGTGCTGTAGCTTTCTCATGACCTCACGCGTTTAAAGGAGCACTATGAGAAAAAGATGAGAGAGTTGATGGCGAGCACAGTGGGCGCAGTGGAGATTCAGCAGCTCAGGCAGAAGCAGGAGCGGAAGGTAGAGTGCTCCCCCTACACGGGCATAGGACCACATGGGCACACAGCTGCACGGCCACACTTTAGAGACAGAGTGCTCGGGTGGCCTGGGTGTCTGGTCTTATGGGAACAATGGTTCTCAAAATGTGGTCCAGGGGCTCCTGGGGTCACCCCACAGGCTCACGTGCATCTGTAACCTTGTGTTTTTCTCACTCTCATCCTCTCATGAGGGAGCCATGACCGTTCCAGAAGCTCCACAGCGTGTGGCCTCCCAGCTCATGGGATGCAGAATCTGGCTGGATCTAATGAGAGAGGCTTCCCCAAAGGCAAAACAATGACACTTTTTGTTTGTTTGGAAGATAGTTTGTCATAAATACCTTATTTAAGATGATGTGATGAGTTTATTATTTCTAATTGAATATTTATAAAACTACTCAAAATTGTTCTGAGTCTTAACTTCTAATACAGTAAATATAGATAAGTAAAGCCCAGAAAAACTAGAGCTGTTTGGGCTTCTCGGTGATCTTTGAGTGTGTCCAGGGCCCCTGAGACCAGGATTCTGGAGAGTTGCAGATGCAAATATCGCAGTGGTCATTCTGGGGGTGTTTTAAAAGGGCACTGTCAAGTACTTTCCAGCAGGTTGATCTCCCATCCTTTTGATAATTTGTGATTTGTTCACATGCATTGAATGCATTGATGGAAAAGAGATGTCCCTTAGAACTGTCCTCTGGAATAGCCGCTTCATCCCACAGGATCTTGTGCTCAGGCTGCTGGATGTCGCAGCCTAAAAGACCCCTCCTCAGGCCCAGCATCCAGCTGGCTTCCCTGTGGGGCATGTGATGGGGACTGAGGTGGTAGGGACATGGGATAGCTGGCAGTGTGGCAGGTTTTCTAGGAACTTAAGGGCTCCATTTGAGCCAGGAAAGGTGGCATGGGGGAGGCCAGCTGGGCAGGTGGTGGTGAGTCAGGCTGGAGGTACACATGGATGCAGGGAGGGTGGGGCTGAGGAGATGAGGGTACTGCCAGCTGGCACTGGAGGTGAGACCAGGGAACTTGCCAGGACTGGGCCCAGTGGACTCGCTTCCTTAGGAGAACAGAACTGTGCTAGGAGTTGGGACCTCGGGTGAGTCATTTCATCTCCTGGGACCGAGGTCCTCAGCTGCTTTGCATGCATATGGGACTCTGGGACCAAGACAGCTCCAACCCATCAGCTTGTGATTCTCCAATTCTCCGTCTGAGGGCCTTGGTGGGACAAGCTGGCAACTGTGGTTTCCAGGCCCGGGACTGAAGAAAAGCAGGACTTGGACAGACTGTGGGGGAGACTAGAGGCGCCTTGCAGAGACACAGGCAGTCAGGGGGGCAGGATTCTTCATGGACAGGAGCAAGGGCGTGGGCAGAGGTCCTGAGGATGTAGCATCAGGATGCAGTCCCATGAGGTTAAGGGGTGCAAGAGTCAGGGAGCACAGAGCGGTCTTGACATTATGAATGTCGTCGGTAGGAGAATGGCCATGCAAGTGCTGGAGACAGGTCTTGGGGTGCTTCTCAGGTGGTGAGGTGGGTGTGATTCAGACGTGCTGAGTGGTGGCCTGGTGGACACCTGAGGAAGGTAGCCCCCAGGGACTTGTGGGGATGGTTGGGGCTGGAGCTGTCACTGTCTGTAGCTTGGCTCCCTGTGGCACAGGACATGCCACAAGTGCAGATGGGGAGAGGTAAAGGAGTTGCCCTTTGCTAGGCCAGTGTGAAGGCTCTTAAGATGTCATTTGGGTCTACTCTAAGAGAAGAATCACTTGTGTCCAGTGGGCAATACCTCCGATGTTGGTTTTTTAAAGAAAAAGAAATAGGATGTCAGGCCAGGTCGACAGATGCTCCTGCCTGGGCAGTCACACATGTCAGCATACTCTGGCTGGAGTAACCCGAGTCAGCCCCAGTCCTGATGGGTGTCACCTTCTGCCTTGGACACTGCAGGGTAGTGTGGTCTGCCTGGCCCTTCACGTGGCTGTCCCTGTGTTTACATCTCTAGTCCTGACAGGGTCTTGCCACTTGGCCTGTGTTGGCTGGGTCCGTACGACCTTTCAATGAAGGGCCCTGTGAATGGCTGACCGTGGCCCACGTGGATGTGGGAGAACAGGCCTTGGATGACAGGTCAGGGAGGACTTTACAGCTTGAACGGAACCCTGAGGTCTCAGTTCATGGTTTGTCACTAACTTTGGGGCAGTCTGCTTGGCACTTGTGCTCGTTCCTGTCTCCCCATGTGACCGCTACAAAGCTTGTTGTGCTTGTGATTTTAATAAAGACTGACTTCTAGAGGTACTGTGTCAAGGAAGGGCTCCATTTTTAAAGTTTGTTTCTTCCTTTTTTCCAACAAATGAAACCAAAACAAAAAGTAGACCCAAACCACACCCACCCACACATACTCATACACAACAACCAGAACCTAGGACTGAGGTCCTCCCAAATTGAAAAGCCAACTTTAGGTAATGTTGCAAGCCCAAACTACTTGACAGTATTCTTTTAAAATAAGCACGTGGAAAGCTACAGGCAGCATGTTACGAAATGTGCCACCTCTTCCGTTTCCTTCTTGGGACAGATGCAGAAGCTCATGAAGGCAGCGAAAGAAGGCACCAAGGATGGGCTCGAGAAGACCAAGGCAGCCGTGAAGAGGGGCCGCTCGTTCATTAGGACCAAGTCCCTCATCGCGCAAGGTCCGTACCTGCAAGTCTCCAGGGTCCCTTCTGTGATGGCGTGTCTGGTGGAGTCAGCCATCCATGTCCCCACAGGCCTTGGGGAACGCCAGCTTGCTCAGCACTTGGGTTTGGCCTAGCTGACCTCGGTCTCCCCCTCCTCAGGGAGGGGAGTCACTTGAGGCCAAGGGCACACCCCACAGCTGCAGAATATTCAAAACTCATTGACTGAGTTATAAATGCACTTGCACAGTGAGCAGCAGGAATTGGAATGAGTTCTCACAGGCTGTGTGATGCGTGTCCATTCTCTGCTGTCTCCTCTCCATAGAGGGTGGAGGCCTCACACTTGAGTCCCCTCAGTTGTCTGGGGCCTGCGTCCTGTGGGTTTTCAGCATCAAACAGAAGAGTGGGTTCTGTATTGACAGAACCTGGCCTTCTAGGCATGTTTATTGTCCTGCAAGGACTGAGGCCCTAAGCCCTGAAGGTGAACTTTAAACAGGGATTTAAGGAACTTTTTCCCTGCTGAGGGGAGATTTGGAATGATGTCAGAATTTTCGAGTTTTTCTTTTTTTGAGTTTTTCTAAATACCTCACTAAGGGGACAGAAACCTATGCAGGATTTTTGTTTGTTTGTTTTTGTTTTTAAGTGAAAAGTCTCGCTTCATCGACCAGAGGCTCACTTGATCATGGCTGACTGCAGCCTCGACCTCCTGGGCTCAAGCAGTCCTCCCGTCTTGGCCTCCCAGGTAGCTGGGACTACAGTCACATGCCACCATGCTTGGTGTTCAGAAATGCCTACTCGGGGCCCACTCCAACCCCCTGAGCCAGGGTCTGCAGGCCCGGAGGTCCCTAGGGACTGGATGCATGGGACAATCTGAGAAGTCCTGATCCAGGCTCTGAAAGGACGCCATGGTTCGTCTGTTCATGGTCTTTGGGGCATCAGTTGGAGAGGCACAGCAGTTTAATAGGCAAATTCTGAAACTTCACCTTTAGTTTCCTGATCTACGAAATGCGAGGCTTTGACGAAGTTAGTGTTCTTAGTCCTCATTGTACTTACGAATTAACTGGAAAGCTTTTTAAAAATGCCACCCTCGCCAGGCTTGGTGCCTCAGCCTGTAATCCCGCGCCTTGGGAAGCTGAGGTGAGTGGATTGTCTGAGCCTGCGGGTTCAAGACCCGGCTGGACAACTTGGCAAGATCTCATCTCTACAATATATCAAAAAAATTAGCTGGGCGTGGTAGCGCGCGCCTGTAGTTCCAGCTACTTGGAAGGCTGAAGCGGAAGG